GAATACCTTGAGGCCAAGAGTTTAAACCAGCCTAAGCAACATAGCAAGACCCTATCTCTACTATAAAAAAAGAAATTTAAATTTGCCAGCCATGGTGGCACATGCCTCTAGTCCCAGCTCCTTAGAGGGCTGGAGGCAGCAGGATTCTTAAGCCTAGAAGTTTGGGGGTGCAGCAATCTATGATCATGCCCCTGCACTCCAGCCTGGCACTCAAGAAAAAAACTGTATTGACTAAATATTAGTTTTGAACATATTTTCATTATTCTGTACGACTAAGTACTATGGCTGTGTCAAGAAAAAGCGCCTTCACATTTGTTGGAGCAGAGAGCTACACCAGCTGCTATTCACCTAATATCATTTAATTTGAAGTGATAACAAACTATAGTTATTTAGATTTGGGTATATGGCAGCCTTTTCCTCAAAAATAAAGTGAGCCTGTTAGTTCAAGAAAAATGACCCATGACATTCGTTGCCTATGATAAAAATTCAAAGTTCAAGTAAAAATTAGCATTTTGGGGACCACTTTTACCTACCACAGTGAGTACGACCACTTTCTAATACATACAGTTTCAGACATACACAGAGGGGATACTATTAACTAAGTTTTTTTCATCTTATAGAATGAAAGACATCAACATTTCGAAAATCTACATAACTCAGTGAAGGCAGTCCCCAGGTAACAAACAAGGTAGGCTCTGTAGGTTTGTTCCTAAGTTGAAGTTGTATGTAAATTACAACAGGTACATTTACCTATGACCTGTTATAGCCCCTATTTGTAATTGTGAGTCGTATCAGTTGGATGTTTGTAGCTCAGAAACTTCCTGTAATAGCCTAGCTATGTCAGTTAGTGCAAACTGTATGTAAAGTCGTACGTTTGTAACTCGAGGACAATGACATGATGTCATAAGGCATGCATGGATAAAAGATGCAAAGTACAAAATACATCAGTGAATTTTAACTAAACAGAGTATGAGAAGGTCACTGATATGATTTCAAAATTTAGACGCAGGACCAAAGAATATTCATGGTTATTTGAAAAGACTTTAAAAACATGCTTTTTCCAACTATGTCTCTGTATAAGATCAAATTTTCTTCCTAAAGCTCAATCAGTAACACCACATCACAGCAGCGTGAACGGCGAAAGAGAATTCAAAAAGACATTAAAGAGATTTCTGAAACTACAAACCAATGCCACTCTGACCACAAAATGTTTTGGAAAAATTATTTTTCATCAAAAATATTATTTATATTATGAAATGATTATAACCATTTTAATTAATAAACATTTAGAAAAATATAAAAAATAACAGTGGAAATATAGATAGGTAATAACCTATACAAAAATACTTTCTGGTCCTGAATAACTTTTTAAGAGCATTAAGAGTCTGAAACCAAAAAGTTTGAGAGTCTTAGGTCTAGAAGTACCAACAATGAGGAGCAAGAAAGTTATTTACCCATCTTCAGACCCAGTGGTTCAAGAGGGGTAGAGAGTAAACAGCCACCACTAAGTGGGATTCAGGAAAAGCAACGTTCTCATAGATCAGCCAGGTTTCAGATGGCGTGAAGTGGTGAAAAGATATTTACTATTTCCCTTCTAAAATACCAACTTTTCCCCTCTTTAGCAGATCAGTCCTCTCACACTGAGTAGTCTGTTATTACTGCAGCCTGGAAAAAAGGTGTGGCAGCTCTAGGTTAGTTCCCACTTCTAAGGTCAAGATCTTTTATAAACTTCAAACTATTATGTACACTAGCAAAATGCAATATAAATAAGCTTCTTCCTACCAATTTCACTTCCACTTCCCCCGTCTTGAATACTCCACAATATGATGCTGCTCTCCGAGGCCACGGCCACCATTTTGTCTTTGTCTCCATGTGGACCTCCGACCACTTTTGCATTTAAAGCTACTCGTTCAATAGTCCAGTCCAAATACGGGCTTGTAAACACTTGTTGCCATCCTGAAGATTCCTTGATTCTATTAAGAACAGACACATATGGTCGACTCAGCAGCAATTAAGCAAATAGAATATATTCTGTTAATTCTGTAAATCAATGTACCAGAAAAAGTATCACAGCTATCCATCTATATTTCTGTTTATTAAATATAAAATATTTTTCATATGTACCTACAAAGCCAGAATATTATCCCTGAGGTACCTTATATTTACATCATAGGACAGAGAACTACTTCAAAATAGACTTCTGTATTTCTCCAAAAAATAATTTTGGAAAATCCTCCCAAATTTTAAAAAACTTTAAAGACTTAAAGAAAGATGAAAGATGGTTTTTAACTTTTACATTTCTCCACAAAAAGTGCTGTAATTTTCTATGGGAATTATTGACAAAAATCAGATTTAGAATTATTATTATTCCTTTCAGTTATTAATCAGTTTGTCAATTGTTATTACTAACTAAAATGACGTGCACTGAACCTATTGTTTTTTTTGTACTTCAGCTCACGTCCATCCACGCAAACTAAGGGAGTGTACCATACACATTTTAGTATCTGAACAATTATACAGAGTGAGGCTTTGAAAACCCTTTTCTGAGAACTCTGGTTTTTAAAGTGTAAGTGCAAAACTTTATGGGACTATTGATTATCCACACATGAAAGCTAATACACTCTTTAATATTTATCAGATAATGCCTGTCAATTAATATCTAATTTCTCTGATAAGACCTGCCAATCAGTAATTTTTTCTGCTCCATCTTAATTTGTTTTAAGATGTTTTCTATGTGATTATGCAGCAAGCCTTCATACATTTAGAGCCTAAAAATGTATGTGATCATAAATGTAAGGACTTATGAAATATTCTTAAACTAAGACAAATAACACAAACAAAATTGTACAGTTTCTCCTTGTTCTGCCTAAAGAAAACAAACAGAAAATGAAGGACAAGAAGTGATCCTGACATATTCATTGCAAAATCAAACTCTGGTATTGGTTAATAATGGTCAATGAAGGACCTAAACAAAAATATATCAGCTTAATTTACATTTAAATACACATGCTATGGTAATACAATTATAATTCATAAAAATGTACAACTCAGTCTTGTTAACAATTTGAATAATTAATGATTTCCTTACTTAAGCTTCAAAGCAATAAAGGAAAACATACATCAACTTTTTCTAAGCACTATAAGGTCTGTAATTACCCTCTTCAGCCACCAGAGGGGATCCATGTGTTAAGAGAAACCAATGAAATGATTATCTAAAAACCTCTAAAATTTGACGACACTGAAAAACGAAATGTACATGCCTTTAGGGATTATCAGAGAGTGGGCACAAAGCAGGGACTGCCAACACTTCAAGAATATCACAACATGCTGCTCTGTGGATACAGACATATGCTAGGTTCACAGCAGTAATCAGTAAAGAGATGCTGCCCAAGAGTTCAAGGTTGCTATGAGCTGTGATGCCACAGCACTCTACCAGGAGCAACAGAGTGACACTCTCTCTCAAAAAACAAACAAACAAATAAAAAACCTCTATTGGGTGGCATGTGTGGCTCAGTGGGTAGGGTGCTGGCCCCATATACCGAGGGTGGCAGGTTCAAACCCGGCCCAGCCAAATCGCAACAACAACAAAAAAATAGCCAGGTGGTGTGGCGGATGCCTATAGTCCCAGCTGCTCAGGAGGCTGAGGCAAGAGAATTGCCTAAACTCAGGAGCTGGAGGTTGCTGTGAGCTGTGATGTCATGACACTATATTGAGGGCGATAAAGTGAGACTTTGTCTCTATTAAAAAAAAATGAATAAAGTGATGCTGAATCAATTTAATCAGGTGAATGAAGTGATCTTATGATCATTAACTTAGGAATATAAAAAATAATAAAGCAAATAATATGTAATCTCATCTTTTACAGAGCTCTTACTTCTAAGCTGCTTTTCTCTACAGCAATTAGGGTATTATAAAGAAATGCCAAAAAACGATAAAGTAATCAGAATGGCCCATATAAGAGTAAATGTAACTAACAATTACAGAATTTAAAATACAGTATATAAATTTACTTCTATTTTTGAATTAAGAAAAAAATGTATTTGTTCTATATTATTCACAAAAATAATACAGGATTTAAAATATGTAAAACAAATAATGAACTCTGATTAATTCAGTATTCCCTGTCCTTACTGCTGCCTAGTGAACCAACACTCTAAGACAGCTATGCAAAGAATATAGTTAGTTTCTGCATTAACACCTCCAAGAAATATAGTAGAGAGGATATGTCCTACAAGATTCTGAAACTCCTTATAAACACACTGTCCCTCAACTGATATGGAAATAAACAAATATGGCATAAGGACATAAGAAAGAATTCACAAACAGATCTAAGTATTAACATAAACCTAATGCAAGATAAAGGAAAATTTCAAATTCAGTAAGAAAGGAAGATTTATGTAATCAACTGTCACAACGTTATTAGCTACTCTGGAGAACAAAACAAATTCTTAAATCTCACACTACATACAAAAAAGTAAATGTTACATGGATTAAACTTTTGAAGTAGAACATAAGCTGGAAGAGGGTAGTAAGTTATATAACTATGTTTTATTAATACAAGTTACACTGTCATAACCAGTAAGAAAAAGGGACATAAAAATAAAGACTAACAATACAGAACATCAGTGAACGCAAGTAAAGAATATAGGGGTATTCACCATACTGCTTTTTGTATTTTTTTTTTTTTTTTTTTGAGACAGAGTCTCAC